TAAAATATAGGACCAGACACGAAGAATAGCTTAAGAAGAAAGAAAACAAGAGCCAGGAACCCGACCTTGTATTCTCTGGCAAAGAGGACAAGAACAGAGCAAGATATCAATCTGTAAATATTTGAAAACATGAACACTATGGAGTGAGAACATTTTTTGGCCTGGAAGGCATGGGTTTAGCCAGCCTTCGTATCAAGACATGACACTGTTAACTGCTTTTGGAAATTGGAAACAACATTAATAGAATCAAGGGGGAAAAGAGGTTTCCTTGCCAGATACAGAGACATTTCAAGGGGGCAAGTGGTCAGTCTATTAAAGGAGAGGCATATTGCAGATTCATCCAGTATAGTGATGGAGAGCCTACCCTTGCCACCATGGGCTGTTGGTTATCACTGCTAGCTCCAAAAGGTTTGCCACCACTGCTAGGTTCTGTGCTTGCCACTATCAAATTGGTTCTTTGAGTTTTAAATTTGGGGCTTTCCAGGTAGAAAATGTGTGTCATTAACTCCACAAAAGCAGCTCTGATAGTATCCTACCCTAGAACCTAGATATGACCTCAATATTAAGTCATCGTGCACGAATCTACCCTTCATAGCAACATGCCAATGACATGAGAGATGTTCCCGCTATCAGTTTTCTATCTATGACAGATGATTTGATATGTCTAAGCACCATTACGTAGTGTGTTTGCTTCTGCTTTCTCAGAGTTACTTAGCACGTTAACATTTACATAGATTAATTCATCCCTTCATTCAAGAAACAAGTGTTGGGCCTTTATTAGACAAGACATTGAATAGATTTATCATGAAATTGATGACATTCTAGCTTCAGGGCTCCTCCCAGGGATAGATTATCTCCAAATCTTCATCCTGATCTCACAGCCACAATTTGGCATTCATTTTTTTCTCAAAGAAAACCCCAAATTATATAACTTTAAACTCTATAAAATCTTGAGTCATTTCTGGTGCCAGCACTGCAGAAAATGTATAAGACCCTCATGCCCGTCAGCCTGATATTGGGACAGCTCCAACCCAAATGGGGTGTGCGTGAGGCCAAGCCAGACCCCTATGTCCTCTGAGCACCTGGAATGCCCGCTGCGGTGTTCCTCCTCTGAGTCACCCCTTTCTACTGCAGTGATCAGGGTGTCCTGTAATCCTAGGGACATAGTCTGCCATCCCCAGGAGGCTATTTGCCTCAGATTCCTGTGCCTGAGTGAGGGTCAGATGGTGCCACTGTGACTTTTGACCAGCCCAGAACAGAAAGATCTCCTTGCTTTGTGAATGTGGATCACCACAGTGGAGACTGCTCTGCATTTGAACTGCAGCGGGAGGGGCTGGAGATTTAGCTCAGAGGCAAAAGCGCCTGCCTGGCAAGTGCAAGGTCGTGAGTTCAGTTCCCGGTACCGGAGAAAAACCAAAAAAAAAAAAAAAAAAAGAACTGCAGCAGGAAAAACAAAGATCTTGCTTATTCAGTTGCTAACTCTTCCCAACATTTCCCCTTCCCGTGCTTAGTCCCTCGGAGACAGAGACGTGTTCTTCCACTTAACCAATCCCTTCTGGACATGAGGCCGGTGGTTGGCACCTGTGTGCTTTTGTACCTGTCTGGTTTTGCTTCTTGCATTCACCTTTCCAAGCCACACATTCTATTTTTGCAAACGTGGAAGCTAACATTCATTCTTGCAAAGATAGGGCTGCATTACTGCTGTGTTAAGGACGGAAGGAAACGGCCTTGATTTTCTTTCTGTGACTCTCCTGATGTTGTGAGCATGATCAGGCAACCCTGAACCGTCTTCTTATTATGACTAAAATAGCTGGAATTTTATGCTATAAAATTTTAGGTGAGAAACACAGTCTGTCCTAGCACTCAGCCATGCATAAACTTCTAGAATCAATTCACATTGTGATACTTATTGGTTTATTGATGACTTCTCCAGCTAGGACAGAATGGCATCAGAGGGAGTACTAATCCCTGCCTTCCTGCTGGGGCACTGACCTTCTCTCTGTGCAAAGAGCTTAGCTGTGGGGAGGGGGAATCCGCTACCCACTGTTGGACGACTTGGCACAGGTAGCATTCTGCAGCGATTGCATTTGTCAAGTTCAATTGTCTTGCCTCGCCTTTTATTAGGAACACCCATGCTCTCAGTTTTTTCCTTCCATCTCCACAAAGTAACACAGTACATAAAATTTCTTTGCCAGAAGCTTTGTTTATAAATTATTAATTATTTTAGCTCCTTCTCTGCCCTTAATTCTCCCTTTAGAAGTGGGAAGTGGATTCGCTTTGTTCCTTTAGCTTTGAGAAGATTCAAAGACCTGGCCTTCCTGGGGCTCTTTAACCTCTGAACTTCAGTCTGATCACACGGTTCCTTTACCTGTCTGTAAAGCTGGCCCAGGAAGCTACCTGAACAGCAGCAAAGAGCCAGGTGTGTGGGTCACACCTGTCCTCGACTGACACAAATCCAAGGCTGCTCTTAGCTCACTCTGTACCTGAGCTCTGCCTGTGCCAACCTTGCCGGTCACAGCCCACCTTGCACCAGAGGAGGGAGAAGGGTAGATAGTAGCCCGCCAGATTGGCCCTTTGCCTATGTCCATTAATAAGCCACATACGCTTTTTTGCAAACAAAAGCTAACATTCATTCTTGCAACAAGTTCTTTTCTGCAAGATTATTTTTACTTGAAAGGAGGATTCACATATTTAGAAACACCTAGCTTGCTCTGGTGTGAAGCACTTTGGCCATAGCAGGGGTGGCATTACCAGTGTACTGAAGAGTGAAGGGAATGCCCAGAGGTTGGCACACCTTCCACGAGCACAGGGGCTGGTCACTCACAGACACACTCTGCTCGTGGCTCATCCTCTGCACAGTTGCTTCTAAAATTCCAATGCAGCTGCAGCTACACACACACACACACTCCAGGCTCAACGTTGGCCTCTCAAGCAACACGTACAAGGAAGTCAGTGACTGCCTGGAGCCTCCAACAGATGAGTGGAGACCGGGCAGGAAAGGCTATGTCAAGTATTTGACATTTACTGATTAAGGCAGAAAAGCTTTGCCTCTCTATTCAGTGCCTCTAGCCACAGTTGGGTGGATTTTCTTGTACCCAGAATGTTGTTGTTGTGGCATAAAATTACACACATACACCCACACACTCACACACACACACACACACACACAAATTCCCTGAAATAACGTGCAACTTTTCAAGATTTCCTGCAAGCAGGAGGGAGAGCGTGGTCAGCCCCCAAGGAAGGAGCCAAAAGACCTGCTTTTGTTGGCTCCCAGACCACCGGCATGGGAAACCTGGGGTCTCACACTCTCTTTCCCCGCAAATGACAGCTGTCTGCACTGGTTAAAAGTGTGAGGAGAGGAAATTGAGGAAGTAGCACTTTCTGCAAAGTGACCACAACTGTTGGTACAAGGAAGGAGCAGCCAGAGAGGGAGGGCTCTTTAGAAAAGCATTTTCCTTAGGAACGCAGGATCACACACTTCCACTAGGTTGATTTCTCTAAAACTCCCAAAATACTTATGCATTTGTTTAATTCAGCGACAGAAATTTCTAGGCTAGGACCACTGGAGAATTGGCTAAATGATGTTCCACTCCAGCTTTTTGTTGCTGATGCCCCAGACAACCTCTGGGTCACTCCCTTCCTGGTCAGTGTATTGTATGACAGCCGGGGAAGCAGGAAACCTGTAAATCAGTAAAACCCCAGGAAGGGTCGGAAAGAGCAGAACCAGGGAAGCGGTGCTGGAGGTAAGTGTGTCTCGTTGTTGAGCTGGCAGTCTCCCTAATGTGCAAATTGCACAAAAGAATGACATTTAAAAGTACATTCCAGTTTTATGTGAAGCTTTCTTTTGATTTTTAAGGACAATTTTTAATTAGGGAGAATTTATCACCTAAGGCTATAACTGATTGTGACCTATTTATTTAAACATTCAAAAGAGGAAAAAACAGGAAAGGACCTGGAATAACAGCCGATTGTATGTGATTCTGAGGCTACAAAGTAAGAACTCTGAGAGTCACTGAGAAGGATTTTTTTTTAAAAAAATCCTTCTTAAAGATCAAGAGAAAAAGTTAAGACATGTTCAGGTAAAAAGAAGTACCTCTAAACCTGTGAACATTGTGGTAGAGACTTTTGTCTTAAGTTTTTTAAAAAGTTCTGTTTTTTTTGTTTGTTTGTTTGGTTGGTTGGTTGGTTGATTTTTTGGGTACATTTTCTAACCTGTAACTTAAAGAAACCCTGAGGTCAAGAAACATCAATCGAACAAAAATCCTGATTTCCGTCAGGCGACTGAATGACTAACTTTGGAAGCACAGCAAAGAGACGAAAGTAGAGTTTACAGGAGCAATGTGGAAATTTCACCCTGTATAACATTTACTAGCTCAGAACAGTCTAAACCCACATCAAGTCATACACAGATTATAAAAAGCATTATCCATGGGTCGTGAACAAAGTTCTCAACATTTGCAAAGTCAGAATTGTTTACATTGCTTATACCTACCGCGCAGAAAACTTACATAACTTTTTTCTCATAAGGATAGGTAACAGATTTGAAAATATTCTGGTGAGGTTTTGCTTCACAGCAACCTAAACTGATCTCACCACCAACAAAAGAAATGACTGCCAGAAAATTCGCCAAAGAACTATATAATCGCTGACAATCAATGGCAAACAGACACTGACAGGAAAGCACTTGCCAAAAAAGTCAAAGTAATTCTCCCGCGATCTAGATCCATTCCACCCACAGCGAGCTAGACAGCATCTGGGGAGTGTTTCACAGGCAGGCAGAAAGGGCTCTTTTCTGCTATGCCCCATCATTAAGGAAAAACCCGTTTTTCACATGCAAACGGAACTTGTAAATTCCTCCAGATAAGCTTGGACGCCTTGAATGATTTAAGTAAGTTTTAAAAGAACCGCAACGTTTTCATTACCTTTAGAAGTAAAGTTTTCAAACACATCTCCAGCCTGCAGCCCGAGCTGGTGTGGACATAGCGTGCGCTTCTTACCTGCAGAGCTCCGTGCTTGCAGGCTCCTGGCAGGAGGAGAAGTTAGGGCAGGCAAAGAACCAGCAGCCGGTCGCAGGTTGCCTGGGGAGAGATAGGTGCTCGGGGGTTTCTCCAGAGGAACGCGCTGGCTGTGCTCTGTCAGTCAAAAACAAGTTGGTACAAGTTTGAGTAGGAATTACCTGAAAGAACTGAAGAGAGAACGAAAGAGGTTGGGAGAGATTAGGCTGAGGAGGGAGGGGCAGAGAAGGAGGGAGAGAGAGAGAGAGAGAGAGAGAGAGAGAGAGAGAGAGAGAGAGAGAGAGAGAGAGAGAGAGAATATCAGAGAAAGGAGTCCATGATGTCACTGTATATCTTAAAGTCCTAAGGAAATCTACAGACCAGCACAGTAATTCTCAAAGTCCCCAGCCCTCAGCCCTCTGGACACCTGTATAAAAGAAAACTGAAACCCTCTTTAAAGAAGGTCAGTTAATCTCTGAAGAAACTTTGGCCACCCTTATCAAAGCCTCTGTAAAGGTCTCTTTGCCTATGTAAACTATAAATAAATAACCAGATTATCTTTTCCAACAAGCTCTCCTTTACCTGCCCTTCTCCTCACCTCTTCCTTCTGCTCACCCCGAAGGAACATTAACAAAAATCCCCGCCTCCTGGGGAGGCAGGACCGGGGAGAGTCCATGCCTCTATCCCAAAGTCAGATGTCACTCAGGGAACTCCTGCGTTCAGCTCCACGTGGTTTTCCTATTGCCTTTGCTTCCCTCCTGAACAAACACAAACTGGTTGGATAGATGTGGGTAAGGCTGGGTATTTGTGGACCATGGGAATTGGCTGAGGGGAATCACCTTGGAACCTGGCCCTATTTTTCTTGCAGAGTTTGACATTTGTATGATCAATGGCCAGAGATTCTGGGAGCAGACAGGTGAGGGGAGATCTTTTGGGTCTGGAAATGAAGTCATGAGGGCCTTTCTGGAACCCAGCAATGTGTCCTTCTTGCAGCCACCGTGTCAAGGGTTCTGTCCAGAGCCCACGTGCTTTCCTGGCCCACCTGTGACAAGAGTCCGGGGATCCTGATGATGCTTCAGGTAACAAGATGCTTCTTCACTGGTCCAAAGGCAGTGTCAGGAGGAGCAGAGCCTTTCGGTCACAGAGGCGGTGAGGACACATTTCTCGCCCCCCGCACAGACACCTCAGCCTTGAATGTCCTCCCTCTGCTCTCCTTTAAGGCTCAACTCCTTGTCAGCAATCAGGGCTCAACCACGTCGTCCCTGCCCAGGAGGTCCTCATCAAATGTGGCCCCAGTTGACCTCTGTGCCTCAGCATCCTTCCTGTTTTGTATGTCATTCACCTCTGCATGAAATCATCCCAACTCTATCATTTCCTGTCTGTGTCCCACTTTGAAACTTGACCGTGCCTGACGTGGTTACCAAACATCCTTTTTTTAGAGATACCCAACACATCCTAAACCCTCAGAAAAATGTATGAATGAAATATTATGAATAGAGGATATAATTTAATGCAGTTAAACTTTAGTTCTTACTTTATATTTAATGAGTGCTTCCAGCCTCAGCTCCTGTGAGCAAACTAATATTTGAATACTCATTGTAGGAAACTTTTAAAAACATTAATTTGATGCTCTAATCAAAATACAGGCACAATTAGTCATCTCTTAAGGACAGGGAAACAGAAGCCAGAAAGGGTCAGCAATTTGGCCAGAGTCACAGAGCGACAGAACAAACAGCCCTTCTACCTCTCAGTTCTTGTGTGCTCCACTGTTCCACATTTTCCTCAAGTGAGTGTTTTGGGGGTGTGCACATGGACTCCTTCAAGCATCCAGGGATAAATGGTAGGAATTACAGTCACAGCTGGAATACGCTGGCCGAGTCTGATTCTCTGCAGGACTGTCCATGAAAGAGCTGAGACTCATTCATGGTGACAGAAGCAAACAGGTCCCCGGGAGTACAGCTATGTTAAAGAAGTTAAATGTTAAGACAGTGTTCTTCATTGCAGTCCTGTTTACCTGTTTTTGTTCTTTTTCATTTGGTAATATGTCAGCAATTAGATCTTGAGGCTGCCAACCTGCAGAATTTGCCAAAGGAGGCGAGGCATTATGAATGCATGACTGGAGGGTGGACCGGAGCTTAGGAAAATTCTAGAAGAACCCTCTATGAGACCTCTGTCATGGGGAACAGACTTTGTTTTGGGTGTTTCAGTAATGGAATGATCTGCCCAGGTATTTCTGGAAATTTCTGATGCTGAGGGAGGGAAACAGGGAACACTTGTAATCCTGGTAGTAAATATTTTGTGTTATCTGATCTCTGTCCCATTCAGTGAGTTAAACCTGTTTCACAGCTTGGTTTTTGGGAGAAAGTTCTAAAATCTACTGTACAAGATTATATGACATGACATCACTGATCAATTTGTCATTAAAGATGGTTAATAGTACTGATATTTAAGCCTAAAATAAACAACAAATGTGAGTGACTGTTTGGTACATTTCCTCTCTCCCTCCTTCTTTGCTTCCTCCCTCCTTCCCTGCCTTCCTCCCTCCCTTCCTTCCTTCCTTTCTTTCTTTTTTCTTTCCCCTTTGCATCCCATCTCCTTCTGTCTGTGTCTCTGTTTCTGTCTCTCTGTGTCTGTCTCTCTGTCTTTCCATTCTCCCTCTTTCTCTTTCTCTCTGTCTACCTCTCTCTGGCAGTTAATTGAAAGCAAGACTTATATGTGTCAAATTTGAATAAAAATATACATCAAAAATATGTATTTTTCCCTAAAGTTCTAAAAAGACATCTGAGTACTAGGCAGAAATCTTCCAAAGCACCAACAATGTAAAAAGATCCATTTCCATAAGAATAATTTCCAAAAAAGGGGAAAAAATTGTTATAGTGCTTCCAATTCTCATCCTGGCTTGGATGGAGACATGTAAAACCTTGAAGGGTGATGAGAGGAAAACAAAACCTTTCTACCTTTGAATGGATTCTGCTTTGGTCGTGTTAGGGGTGGAGCTACTTATGGAGGGCTACGTCAATTCTCATGAACTTATCAGCACTGTATAACCTGCCACTAAGAGCTTCCAGAGCCCCTAAGGGTCATGCATGATGTGACCAGTTGCTTCTGGTTTGCTGCCGTCATCGTCATCTTGGAGATGCCCCTTGAAATGCAGGTGAACCGTGGACAGCAAAGGGTACCCATCTCAATCCTTTGAAGACTCTGCAGGCTGGTGGGGTGGGACCTGCTTACTTCTGGCTTCCTAGACATAAATGTGCCTTAGGTAGCCAAAGTCAAAACCTTATCTCGGGATGGGCGCTCCAAAAGCAGACCTTGAGACAAGGTTGCATCTGCCCATTGTTAAGGAAGCCCTCTGGGAAGGAACGCAGAGGGGCTGTGGAGGAAGTAAGCTTGGTGGAAAGAAGCCAGGATACAACTGTGGGCCAGCACTGAGCTCCAGCCCCGCTTGATTCTGGGTTCTGATCTGAGGACAGCACCTAGTAAGGGAGCTGGATTTTCATCATCCTGCCCAAGTAGCCTTCGGCTAAAGGGAGAATGGGTGTTAGGCTCACGGGATTTTCTGAGTGCTGGAGCTTTCTGCATTTGCAGTAGCAGTGGTTCCCACTGCCCTCGGGCAGTGTGATGAAGACACCTGCCAGCCGGCAGGAGTCAGGCACAGAGACCTGGGATGGCTCCCACAGGCAGCAAAGGGACCCCGAGCAGCATGAGCCCTGATAGCCCCTCCTGGGAATTTGGAATGTGTTCCCCTGTCCGTTCCCACTACTCCCTCAGCATCTCCCATCCTGCTTCTCTACACCCTCCATTTCCCAAGCAAAATAAAATCAGGAGTCTCAGCACTAAATTTGGAAGGTGATTTAAAATGCGTATAATTTATTATACATGTAGTCATTTATTCCAAGTAGGAGGAGGGCTTTCTTATCACTAACAGAATCCTTTCTTGCAGGACAACTTGGTTTGATTGGTAACTAACTTGGGTGCCTTCCCTTCAACTTCCCTTTGCTGGGTTACAAAGACCCCCCAGATGCTACACTATTTAGATTACTGTTGAACAGAAAGATGGAGAAACAGCTAGCCATCACATAACATGAGATGTTCTATACCACAGAAGCATTCCAGAGGCCCACAGAAGGCTAACCAACTCTCCCAGAGTTGAAGATAGGCTTCCAAAGCAGGGAAGGGTGGACTTCAACCTGTAAGACTTCCACAGGTGGACCCAAAGAAGTATTGCAGACACACCAGGGGAAAGGCTAAGGGAGTGAAGGTTAAAAGAGACAAGGACCTGTCTTCCTTCATGGGTTAGCAATGGGGCACTAACCTCGGCCTCACGGAGCTCAGCCAGAGTCTCAGGAAAGTGGCTTTGGTTACCGAGTCCCACCTCCCTTGTCCTTGGATATGCTTGGGGGAGACAGTTGAGCTGAGTGCAGCCTCCAGCCTCCCAATGGCGGGTTTCCACCTCAATACAAAGGATGCCTCTTGGGGGAAACACTAAAGCTATTTAGGGTTCCTGTGTACTTATTAATTAGATGGCACAAAAATTGCCAAGAAATAAAAACATCACTTAAGAAAAACATTATCTCGAAGTTATTCTTCTGCAGGGTGATGTCTCATCCTGGTTTAAATGCTAAAAATCCTAGGAAACCCCCAGGCCCAGGCAAATTGCAATGACCATCCACTCTATTCTTGTGGGTGTCCTTGGGTCTCTTGGAGTCAGCTGTTAAATGTTAAAAAATGAGCTCATTCAAAGCTATTCTGACTTAGTAGCACCAAATAAATATTTGCTTAAAGGACCTGTAAAATCTAACTGACCAATGGCAAAATGTGTACTTAACACTTCAGCTCACTGGGCGTGGTGGCTCATGGCTGTAATTTCAGCGCTCTAGGAGGCTGAGGCAAGACCCAAAGGTTTGAGCTCAATCTGGGCAACCCAGTGAGACCCTGTCTCAAAGTAAAAAGGGCAGGGATGCAGCTCACTGTGGAGGCTCTGGGTTCAATATCCGGCACTGAAAAAAACAAATAAAGATAGGCTCCTGAAATGCCAGAGTCTCTGAAAAGAGGCAGCCCCTGTTTTGACTCTCTCTGGAAGGCAGTTGGAGATTCGAGCCTCACTGGGCAGCGGGGCTTCAGGGTCTTTGTGTTGCGAAGCACCTGACAGTGATCTGGTTTCCCCCTGCCAAGCTCAAATCACACTTTGCTGCTGCTGCAGGTGTTGGTGCAAGCTCACACCCATGTTAAAAACACACAGTTTGTTCCTGGTTCACTT